TAAATATATGAAGTAGTCACAAATTATTTTTAAAGAAAACTAATGAAAGGGAATTTGTTCTATAAGATATTAATGTGTATTATAAAAGTACAACAATAAAAACAGTATGGTAAAGACACCAGATCAGATCATTTTTTATTGTTGAAACAGAAGTGAAATGTCCATAAAGAGACTCAAGTATATATTAGAGACTGGTATATGGAAAAGCTAGTATTTTTAAATCAGTGGAGAAATAATCACTTTTTTTAAACGGTATTGGAATACCTAGCTAACTTTTTAATAATAAGATTAGGCTAGATTCCTATTTCACACCATTTATCAAAATAAAATGCAGAAAGATTAAAGCTTTAAATGTTTAAAAAATACATGCACATGTGCGCGCACGCGCGCGCACACACACACACACACACACACACACACACACAATCATATTACATAGAGAAGACATACAAATCAATAAGACAAACAATCCAAAACAAAAATGGACAAAAAGTTGTGAATGGTACTTCATATAAAAGGATATCCATATGGCCAATAAGCATCTGTAAAGGTGTTCTACATCATTAGTCACAAGGGAAATACAAATGAAAATGCCAGGGAAACCAACACAACAGAACAACCAACAGTAAAAGGCAAGCACATGGAACTCTTTTACACATTGCTGGTAAGAGTGGAAGTTGGTACTATCATTTTGGAAAACTGTCTGGCAGCATTTGCTAAAGCCAAATATAAGCCTGACCTGTAATTCAGGAATCCCACAATCTGATATATCCCATGAGAAATGAGCACTTATGTCCACCAGACAGGTACAAGAAGGTTCTTAATAGTTCCACGCTGTAAACAAACCAATGTCAGTCAACATCAGAACTGATCAATAGTTTGTGGTATAATGCAGTGAAAAACTGCACAGCAATGGAAAATAATTATCTACTGCTACATATAAGAATATGAATGAACTTCACAGGCATCATGTTAAATAAAAGTGGTCATGACAAGAGTCATATTGTGTGATGTTCAAAAGCCAGAAAAACGGAGTTACGGAAACAGTGATCAGAATAGTACTTAATTTTAGGAAGGATATTCATTGGGTGGGGACATGGGGGAACCTGCTTGAGTTTTGGAAACATTCTACATCTTGATCTGGGTGGTGTATACATAGATGTACATATGGAAAAATTCATCAAGCTGCACACTTAAGTTTTAACTATGTAAGAAAAAAAGAAATACACATACCAAAAAGTATTACAAACTATGTGAGGAATATTTGTATAATCTTAAGAGACTAGAAAGGGCTTCTTAAGCATGACTTCAAAGATAAAAACTGGGGCCAGCCAAGTGGCACGTTGTTTTAGAGTTGGCTTGGGACGCCAGCTCTGTGCAGCAGGGCCCTGGTTCAGATCCCACATGAGGGCCAGTGACGCTGTGCCCTCTACAGCTAAGATGGCAAACAACAGCTCAACCTGGAGCTGGGCTGCCATGAGTTCCCAGCGACAGCATAGGCTGCAGTGGGACTGCAGTGAGCTACCATGAGCCACCATGAGTGGCGGCCGTCCAGAGGCCGGAGACCGATCTGCCTCACCAAGTAAGAGCACAATGATCATACCAACATGGGCCAGTGAAGTGACGTCCTCCACAACTAGACTGAAGAACAAAAGGACAGCAACTTGTCTGTTCCCCTT